TGTCTAACATGGCTGGATTCAGGGCTGACAACTTTTTTAAAAACTCTGCCTTATCAGAGGCCATCAACCTTCCTAGCACCAAACTTGCATGGATTTTACTTGAATAAAGAAAATTCAAGATCACAGAATCATCTAGGTTGGAAAAGACCTTGAAGATCATCTAATTCAACCAGTAACCTAACAGAGAGGATTCCCAAGCTGTCTCATCAGAATCAGACAAAAAAAGTTTTAAGTTCTCATCTATATTGTGGAAGGAACTGCAGTATACAGATACCCAACCTACCAGAGATCTAGGCTGGTAACATCACATGATTCCACTCAGCACCACACACACTTGGGCCCAGATGCAATGTAATAGCAATGACCCAATGCTGTTAACAATCTGGTGAGTATTGTATTCACTAGCTAGAGTGAAGAGCCAGGTTAACACAGTCATACTTCATCCAATCCCAAGATGGACTGTATTTTATCTACTTTACCCCTAAGAGGGGAGCAGACTTGCCCTGCACTTTTAACTTAGCAGAGGAAGAGATCACACACTGCCTTAAATGCCTTACCCTCTGCTGTGCTGGGTTTCGCATTTGCAGTTCTGTAGCCAGCCTTCCAGTTGCAGCTCTGTAAGACTTCACCCTAAGCTGCCTGGCCAGTTTTTTTCCCAGAATTTCTCTAGTTATATTTTTCCCTTGTTGTTTTCCCCATGCTGTTATCCTCAAGGCCATTCACCCACAAATACCAACATGTTGACAGTGTTGTATCTATACTGTATGTAGCCCTTCTTTCCTCTGCTTTTTTCCTATCCCCCAGCAGTAGCTTTTGGTGTACATTACAGAGCCCAATAACATGCATGCACAAAGCTCAATAAGCAGTCAGTGTTCAACACCTGCCCTGATGGAGCACTACCAGCATTGTAAGCAGGAACAAGCAACAGGGATCTTGAGCAAGTCCTGATGAAAACCACAGAATTACTATGAGAAAGTGTTCGGGGGGAACACTTGCTGCATAAGAAAGGACGCCCAGAGGATGATGCTCATCTGGGAGACTCCACCACTTCCCTTCCAAGCTGGCTACTGGGAAACATTTCCCCTTTTTTTTTTTTTTGTTTTTTTCCCCCTCACTTTGCTTTACTTTTTTCTGTGAAAGTAACTTTCACCTTCAGTATCAATTTACACCATCAGCTGCAGACCTTGCAAATGGATCTTTACTTGCACCTGTTTCAACATCCTCTGTGCACCACACTGCCCATATAAATATGCTCTACAGCACGTGAGAGTGTAGTTCTTCACATGCTTAAATCAACCTGAGCTGCCCTTAACTTCCAAACACACATTCCTTCCCCCTCTCCAGTGAGGGCACAAGATCTTGTGTGACTAGGTGAGGAGGTGTTTAAGTACAGTTGTAAATCTAGGAGTAACTTCTCCCCTCCTTTCCCCGCCAAAACTGATTCATTACCAAGCAGCTCAACTCTCAGTGCTGGAGCCAGGAAACTTGCAGGGACACAAAGGCTGGGGACAAAGGACCAAGAAGGAATCACTGCTACCTCAACATAAATCATTTAAACCTAACATGGAAGCTAGCCTCTAACTAAGCATACAAATAGCAACTCTTAGACAACATTTCCATGAGTTACTAGAAAGGATCTTTTGTGTCACTTGAAACACTAGATCTAACTGGTCTAAAGATATGCCCTGAGATGAATTTAATATTTTATTTTTCCCCCAAGCCATTCATCTTGCCAGAATCAAAGTTCCCTAACACAATCTCTTAATCTTAATCTGTATCTTCACCTATTTGAAAAGCACATCTTTTTTTTTTTTAAACAGAGATCAGTAAAGGGAATTTGGTCACCGTAAAAAAAAAAAACAACAACAGCTTCCAATTAACTTAATGTATTTTCTATCTGTTTTAATAACAGATAATAATCTACAGTCAGAAACTAATGAAAATTAAAATTACTGATTTCAGCATATTATCTACCTTATTTTTCAAATCTTATTGTTAAACAGTCTATATGGTCTGCATTTACTTGGGAACTCCAACAACACATATTCTACTACCCAACTGTTAAAAATCAGCAAACAAATGCTAAATACAACATGGCAGTACAGGACAATAAATGCAGCATATATCATACCACCGGAACGTAATACAGTACTACAGCATGTGCTTCATATTTGGGACTCTTGCTATTATAATAGATCCAGAATCTGTCCCCAGACTTCCCTCTGGTGAGGGTGGGTAGGAGGTGCACGGTGATCCTGAGCACTGAGGAGCCAGCAGGCAGCCAGGACCCACGCCGCAGGCAGCCTGAGCGGGGCGCGGGCTGCGCTGTGCTGCAGAACCCACGCCAGCACTGCCTGCAGGATGGGGCTGCGCTGCACAAGGCCCTCGGCCACAGGACAGACTTGCTGCAAGAAAGGGGCCTGCAGGCAGCTCTCCCTCGGTACCACCTGTATGGCCTTGCCTTTATCTATTAACAGTGCATGTAAACATCATTCCTGTTTTGACTAGAGTTATCAGTTCATCAGAAAATCCTGTAAGCACATGAATGACCACGAAGGGGACAATCTGTGCTGTGGCCGAGGTCTGCATGGCACACTGCACATGGGTTGCAGTCCTGCTCGATGTTACACTGCTCAGCACTCCCAGCATCTGAAGGGGTGCAAGATTATCTGCACTATTTTCTTATACTGCCAGCTCTAATAAATAGCATTTTAAATTATACCTTACGAAGTCTAAGTGCCTTTCTTACCGGGATCATAACAGACCAGCAACTCCCAATGCAAAACAAGGCAATGAACAACAATTTCTAACACAGAAGTTGTCCCAAATCAGTACTATATGGCATCATTCTTCTGTTTCCTCTTTACTCTGGTATTCATGTGTGAGCTCGTGTATATACAGGAGGTATGTGTTTATGCAGACAGACAGGCATATCTAGTTATTTACTACTTAGCTTTAGTTATTTATCAGTTTACTAGCCACAGTATTATTAGCCATCCTGCATGGGCAACTGCACTCAAAATAAGCATGATGAAGCAGGCAAGCATAGATCCTGGCCTTCTCTCCCACCTTGCATGTCGCGATCAGAAAAATCAAATGCTCTTGGCTACCTAACCACCCAGAGAAATAAAGTTCATTTACCATTTTAGCCTAACATGGGAACACAATTCCCATGAAAAAAGTTCCCAGAGAAGCAAACTTAAAGATTGCACTAGACATACCAATCATTTCCTATGAAAAAAAATAAGATCTTAAAAGTTAGCTACTTTGTGTTTTGGGGTTCTGCTTCTACAAATATGTTTCTCTAAGTTCAGATTTCAGAATTCCCCATTTTATGTTTTTTACTAGCTTGCATTTTTTCCAGCCTAGAGTTTTTATCTGTTAGTCAATCTCATTATAAAAGCAATGCAAATAAATGTAGAATTTCTAAATATTAACAAAACCCATCTCAGTTACCATAGTTAGCTTTTTAAACCATGACATATGTAAGCAGAGACTCAGGTCAGCAATGACTAGAAATACAACACAAGTAATGCAATAATCAGGCACTGTTCTGTAGAGTAATGAAAGAGTTTTCTTCCAGGTTATTTTTGTTTGTTCAGTTCTAGGTATTGTTGCTATTAATAAAAAAAAAAAAAAAAAAAAAAAACAGACTGAAATGTTAAAACCCTAAAGTTATCATGATTTAAAAATCTGGGGAAAAGTAAAACAAGATTAAGTCAACTGAAGTATTTTCTTTAGAAAATTCTGAAATGCTGCATTTTCTTTTCAAACTCCTTAATTTTTAAACACTGCCATAAATTCCATTTCTAATAGGAGTAATTTTGAACCAAAACATTTCTTCAGAGTTCATAACCTCATTCTTTTTGATAATTATGACATGCATAAAAATTAACAGGAAATCCATTAAACAAACCTTCATAAGAAAGGCCACATTTTTCACTGATAAAACATGCTGTTAGAAATTCCTGACCTGCTTTGTTTTGGTTTTTTTCTTATTTTACAGATTAGACTTGGTATCACTTTTGAAGGTCCAAAACACCTGATCTAATATAGTTCCTCTGTGGAAAAGTAAGAAAAATGGGAAAAAAAACCTATCTCGGAGAAAAAAAAAAAAAAAAAAAGAAAGAAGTTCTTGAGATTGCAAATTAATACATATATTACCTTAAGTTTCCCTCAGACTGTTACATTAGATACAAATTACATTTCAGTCAGGATGAAATAGACCAGTTTTTTGATCTGTACTAAAACTGTATAAATACCAAAGATGAAGATGCTTCAAAAATTTAGAACAATTGAAGAATGAAATATTTGGATGGTTATTTAAGAAAACTGCACCACTCAAATTTTCAAATTATTCAAATCTTTAAGAATTTCATAGTTTAAAAATCAAATTTTGAATACTGCCTTCTCAACAATTACTCCAACTTTGCTACACTAATGACAGCATTGATGGAGGGCTCTAAATATAGGTTTCTAAACTGTGAAAGAAAGGATTTTTCCTAACCAAACACTGAAGATTAAGGAAGTGAGACAGTTGACCAGGCAGAATGGTTAAAAAAAATGGAAACGTGAGAATGGTTTCAAGCCTATTTTCAAAATGCAGACCTCCTAATTTTATATTAAATTTCTAAGAAAAGAGTGCTTCATTTTAATTATACAGATTGTAATCACATGACACAATAGCAAAGAAAAGCAAAACCTCTCTCTGAAGTTAATGCTCTGCCTCCTCACTACCATGGCTGTAGACTGTAACTCCAGTATGCACATTAAAAAAATAGAAACAGTTGGTTTACATGTACTTTATTCCTTGTGACATGCTTAAGGCACCTGTCTTTTAGAAAGAGATTATGCGTGTTTCTAAATAAGGCTGCAGAGACTCTTCTAAGTAAAAATCTCAGGTTTATTTTCCTCTGAAATAACCTAAGACGTCCATAAAGATTTAGAACACATTGATAAGTAAAGTATAAAAAACATCAAATAATAGAAAAAATACAAACCTCTGATTGTACATGCCCCGGAAATTATAATTTGCTCTATAATTGGGAATTGGCTTGGGATCTAATGGCCTGTAGATGGCAGGCTCTCCTCTTTTCATGGCCAGACCATTCAGCTCCACTGTTGGAGTTATACTGCCTGAAAAAAACAAAGAATACATTTAAGGTGCTTAAACCACAAATACTGCAAAACACACAAGGCAGGACTGAGGTGAGCAGCAAAGAGAGAGGTGCATGATATTTTTTTTTTCTCTTAAATTAAAAAAAGAAGCAACTACAATGACATTTCAGTTTCTCTAAAAGATAGGAATATAGATGCCAACTTAATCATGGGCAATGAAAAAGAACATTTAAACATTTATCTCAGTGCATTCTCTACGCAGTTTCAGTAGACTAACCTTCACATCTGGATGAGAAAGTAAGTGCTATAATCAAGCTAGTTATTCATCTTTCCAAAGTGCTTATAATACATTATGACACTTTCTGAAACTATAAAGGTAAAAGAATAATGTCTCTTCCCGCTGAATACCATTAAATAAAAGCACAACTAGAGCAAAGAAGCACTGAAACAAGCAAGCAGTAATAGGAATTACTGCAGTCATTTGGTAATCTGACAAGTTAGAAAAAAATGATTTATTTGCAAAACCTGAAAACATAAGACTATGACTAAAAACTAATGATCTAGCAAACTAAAAATACATCTAGTGGAAATCAGTGTCACTAGAGCCATCTACTGGTGACAGAATACAAACATAAAAAGCAGTCAGCACTTGTCCAGTTGCATGGTCTCCAAAATGCCAAATAAAAAGCTACATTGTGACTTCATTTATTTCTTTTTTAATAAAATGTTCAGCTACAGTATTCCCCACTTGCAGTGTTGTAAGAAAAACCTAACTGAGCTAAGTTGAGCTAACAGCTATGATGAATTTGCCAGTTCGCCACTGAAGCGTTATATGTCAAATTATGAAAATTTTTATACAATTAATTCAACTATATAATAAAAATGCAAAATGTCATTTTGATGAGAAGATACCTGAGCATGCATATACAATACTCCTCTCAGAGCAAAAGTACAGTGTTAAGTGATGCAATTTTTAATGAGTTCTCTTAAACCCTTTTTCTTTTGTTATCAGCTTTTCCCTTTAAGAATATGCTCAAAGCCAAAAAATCCTAGAAGCTGAGTAATACTCTGCAATGTCAAGAAGAAAACCCAGGAACCTTTTCTATAGAGGTCTGAGCCTCCTGCTTTCTAAACAGCCAAAGTCCCAGTGACTGTGAAGGACACGGGGCAAAACCAGTGCCCTGAGTCTGGAGATGCAAAAGGAGCAAGAGAATACTGTCACACCCCTCTCAAACAATCCATAATGGCTAATGCTCAGGATAATATTCACAAGCTGTAAAGGAAATTTACTCCTGCTTTTTTTCCAACATACAGAAGATAAACTGCAAAATTATTCCATTTTAAGAAAGTGGCTGAAGAAGACTTTTTTTTAAAAGGAGGGAAGGGGCAAAGGGAAGTAAAATGGGAAGAAGGGAAATGGAGAAAAAGGGAGGAAAAGGAGTGTAAAAAAGAAAAAAAAAAAGGAAAACATGACATTTTCTCACCATTTGCTTTCTTTTATATTAGTTTGAAAAGAAGTTAGGAATATTTTTTTAATTTATTTTATTGAACAAGACTGAACAGGTCACTGAGCATGTGGCTGAGATGTGTACCTCGAGAGGTGTTGCACGCATAGAAGGCAACTCACAGGTAACACCTTGAAACGAAGGATGCAAGACACCAATATACATTCTTTCTATTAATCAGACAACAGTTCCTAAAGCCATCTGAAAGCTTTTCAAAAGCACGGGTTGTTATGAAGGAAAACTCACAATGCAGGAAACTACCCAAAGTTCACATGCCAAAGCCTGACCTTTTATTTATACCACAGGTGGAATTTCACAGGGCTGGATGGATAAAATTTCCAACCCTTTGGGAAAAATGTTTTACTATGGTAATAATGGTCAGCTCAATCTGGTTCTGATCTGTCTGTCTACTGTTGATCACATACAATAACTTTGTATACATCTGAGCCTTATCTAAATAATAAATTCACTTACAGTTCAACCATTTTAGGGATGTACATTAAAAATTATCATTTGTAACCTCACTAGAGGTTCTTTATTATACTATTGTACCTATGAGACAGCGATGTTGATTCTCATCCTACAGCTTAATTTATATCTTGTTAAACCTACTTAATAGTGGTATAATATTCCAACACTTCAACAAGATTTAATACACAGTGGAAAACATCATACCTGGGTTATTGTTAACATTATTTTTGGGTGGTCTAGGCGTTGGTTTGGGAAGGGTAGTTTCATTCAATGCTTTGCTAGCAGCAGCATGTTGGGCCTTTTTAATACTGCTTCCTTCAGCTTCCCATGTCTGTTCTCCGAGAGTCAGCTGCACTGTGAACATCTTCAAAGACAAATAACAGTTAAAGACTGGCAAGATTATCACTGTGGATTAGACCAATCTGTATAAAAATTTCCAGAGCTGAACTCCCAGATAATACATCTGATTCTTACAAAGATCAGTGAGTCCATATCAGTGGGCAACATCTGGCCTTTCAAATTACAAAGTAAAATAATGTAATGTTAATGTCAACTATCAACTATCAAATATTATATATCAGAATAATATTTAAACCAAGTAATAACAACTGCAAACTGATCCTCTGTTCTTGGAAGACTATATACAAGTCAGTTCAGACCACATTTCTTCACACATTTGAATGCATTTAGTTACTTTACCCGTAGAAAACAGGTAAAGAATGATACTAAAAAAAAAAAAAAAGTAATTTTGTAATAATTCTGAAAGGATATAAATGACTGCAGTGGAAAATTTGGTCTGAATATTTTTACCCAGTGAAAGAATTTCTCACACATCCTGATTTCCGAAAATAACATGAATTGTTAAGGCAGAGTCACAAATATGTTCAAAAATATAAATTAAGAAAAGAAGTATTATCTTTTAATGTGGACTCTATAGTGAAGACAGGAACTGTAAATATTCAGAGTTCAGAAATGGACTATTGATAAAAAACATATATATTTCAAAATCTGTAATAAAGGATTATTTCAAGCAATATCTATGCCATGCAAGTTGCAAAGATAAAACTCATTGGATATTTAATATATTAGAGTCTATCTTCTGTACGATATGTAAATGTTCTGTTCAAATTTGAGCATCTAAGAACAAGAGGAGAAAGGGTAAGAATTCAATGTCTTTTCCATATTAATTCCATACATATAAGGCATGATTTAATAGTCAAATACACACAGTAAACTCAGATATACCTACCTCAGAGAACAGACTAACTTACTTGAGGCAACATAAAGAAATCTACATATTAGTGTGAGCAGTATATATAAAGTAAAATTTTCATTTTGATAGTTATTTGCTCTATAATTTTAAAAATTATTTAAACTTGCTAGATCCAGGACCAGGAATCTAGAGATAGGCATGATGGGCAATCTTTAAATTTGCCTTTACATATATTTTCATTTAGGATTTACTTGCAAACAAGCATTTGAACACGAGTACTTATGTGCCTCACAACTATATCCTATAGACATGCACACAGTGCATATGAACTGAGTCCGATAAATACATAATTGTGACTTAATTACAGGCTTGAGTTTTGGCCTACTGTAATTTTCAAAAGCACACTGCAAGTCCCCGTATCATAGTTCCTATTGCCATGTTGGTTTTTTCCACAGCAGTCTTGACAATTTCCTCACAGACAAGGGGGAAGAGAGAAAAAGTCTCTTAATTTTGCACTCGGTCAAACCCTACTCCCACCTGAAAGCTAAGATGGGTATTAGAACTAAATATTCATATAAATTATCTATAAACACACATCCTTATTACTAAAAGAACTGAAATTTGATTTCTGGATCTGGAGTTTGGATATTTTATATTTTGCAAGTATCAATGTAATATTTTTATAGGAGGAGAATAATCTTGAATTTCAATAAAAATATGATGAATAATGGCTACTTATCTACTTACAACTCTCCTCTTAGTGCTTTGAGTAATAAACAGGAACTCAAGATAATAAAGGGCTTGCTCAGTAAATTTCTATAGCCAGAGCTCTAACCTTCTCACTTAGCCCATCTGACAAAAAAGCTACGGTGAAACACCACACCCAATAGTAGGTGGGAATTTAATTAAAGGAATAAAACTGTCTAAAACCAAAATCTGGAGCAGCCAATGAAATACTAAAGTTCTGCAAGATCTGACCTGACAGTTCTGCTATGGATTGAGAGGCATTTCTCACCAGTTTTCTGAGGGTTTGTATTCCTTGCATCAAACCTAATTTACCTGATGGCCAGAGAGCAGATATGCAAAGGCCACCACGCTTTGTGCTTGTTTTCACTCTGCTGTGTTTGTAAGGTCAATCTCCCATAGCTCTGGCAATTCTTTTCTCCTCCCTTTTTCTGCATGTAGAACTTTCTCCCCTCCTTCCAGGCCTGCTGAAGTGCTGCGTCCCTTACCACTTTCCCACTTCTCTGTTCCACCATCCACTTTCTTTTGTCAATGTTTCTTTTAAATTTGTCTCCTGAGATGCCATTGACAGCACAGAAGAAATTATCAATTTGACTGACGTGCTCAAAAATATCGTTTATGCCAATCAAGATTTTCTGATTTTTCTTATGATGAAGAATCCACCTGGGAGGCAGACTCCTACAAACCCTAACTGCACTGTCAGCACTTCTCTCCACTTCTCCAGAATCACCACTTCTCTCCCACCTTTTACTGTTTCTAGTTTCCCCTTTCACCCCAATTGTGAAAACCTACTTTCCAGAGACAACTAGAAAGAAGGATATAAAAATTTACTAGCATTTGTGGCCACAACAGACAGCTGTCTTGTAGAGCGTGTCTCTGAAAATCACAAAAACCACTAGTGGACAGGAACAGAGTATGTGCAGGAGGAAAGCAACATTAGATGCTCCTTAAATGGCAAACAGCAGCAGCAGCATGACATCCTTCAGGTCATGCCTTCTAGGACAAACTCAGCTCCGTTTCACATATTCTATCAAGTATATCATCGCATTACTAGCCAGACATTATACTAAACTGCTAACACAGTCATAATAATTTCTATGTCTCTGCTTTTCGTAGGTCAAAGCTACACAAGCTTGCATAATCTTATTAATATCACCCTTGTTCTTCATCACCTTCCCTCCTTTGTTTTTCTCATTTGCTGCACAGGTCAAAATCAGATTTAATATTCTCTTGAGTCTACAGAGCATGTATATTTTTTTTGACCACTATTGTGTAATTAAAAATAGTAAGAGGTAAATTGAAAAACTGAAAAATAAAGAAATCAATTGAAAATCTGGCTTTCAAAAATGCGGCTAATGCAGGCACAAGTCATTTCAATGATATTAGCTCCTTTAAAATTAATAACAAATATATGTGAACTATTTCTTAACCTGCTAAAATTTAAAGTATAGTATGAATGTAATGTAACAAATCTCTTTACTGCTGAGGAATATGAACAATCAGAACCACACCTTTTGGTATTACCAAAGCACTTCTTATTTCACGATAACTGACAAAACCTAACAAAATAAATAATACAGCACAACAGTAAAAAGTTACAGAAAGTGCAACAGATTTAACATGTCACAACCCCAAATCAATGAACCAGTGTATCCTGTGGTGCTAAACTCCTCCAGGAAGCGGGAAAGCACATCAATTTCCAGTCACACTGAGGGACCCTAAAAGCTTGCTGATTCCTTGCAGCCCTGCACCTGCTGACATCATTTCCAGCAGCATAAAAGCTGCATGAACACCAGCCAGACCAGAAGGTTAGTGATTTGCATCAACTCTGTGCTAGCTGACAACATACCGTGCAACTGAGAAACAAGGGACCACAGCAGAGAGAGAGCCCACGGCTAGCTGAACTTGTTACTGGTCTGCAGTGTGACTCCACTATGCAGTTTTGCCACTCTAGAAATACGGAGTGCAAAGCGACTACTAATTATGCCACTGTCACTCTCAAGAGTTTTTCAGGCTTTTTTCGTCCTCACTGAGATTGCTCCTAACTATGGAGGAAATGCAAAATTACATCTGAATATTATTATCATGAGAATGTCTTTCTGTGTTCCCCATCATCTGAAAGCATCCTAATTTGTACTTATGAAATGAAGCTGGATATCCAAATTGATAAGAGAACTGACCACAATTAACTGTCAGTTCACTAGAAACTTCAATGTTACAATCATATTAAGAGTCTTAATACCAGTGTAAATCTTAAAGTTGCACAGAATTTAAGGGAAAGAACAGTAATAAAATTTGTGCCCAATAATGCAAGATCCAAAGATACAGTATCAATGCAATCGACTTTATGACCACAGAATCATATCAATAAACACTGTAAAAAATTATGACAAAACTAGTTTGTGTCATCTCAACTACCATGGAACAAATGTAGAGGCAGTTATCAGAGGCACACCAACTGGGGAGAAGGATTCATGCAGCTTGAAAAGCAAATGTTCCAAAATGATTAAGAAAGGGTGGTGATACCCTGGAAAGACCTTCACAAGATCTTTACAGAGACCAACAAATATAAATTCAAAGGTGGAAGTCCAAGTAAAGCACAAAACAATCTACAGGACTTCAACAGAAATACAGACATACTTTCTGAAAGCATAAAAAAAAAAAAAAAAAAAAAAAAAAAAAAAAAAAGCAAAGAAAAGAACAGTAAGAAACCCCTTACACTAGAAACATGGCTGTGTTTGACAAGTGCACTCATCCAGACCATGACATTATCTGTTCAGCATTTATGGTATGGCTCATCACCTGGAACTGTGACCTTACCTTGGCATGAGCAGGCCCTCTTTCATTCAGAAGCTTATACTGGGGTTGAATTCTATTGAAACGGGCTAACTCATTTACCAGACACATTGGAGTTTTCTCTTTGGGGTTTGCCATGTTATCTTGGAGAGGAGCTGTAAATAAAGAGTCTGTAAAGGTTTTGTGGAGAAACGTATTCTTCACAACTTCGCAAAGCTTTGCAAAAGCAGCAGCATGCTTAGAAAAGACTTTGGCTAAAAATTTTTGCACATATGCTAAACACAATGTTTAAATACCATTTACATATTAATCATATGAGAATATGCATTTTACAATAACTGGTTTGATTACATGCTATTTAAAAATGTACAAGTATTTCTTTCCAAAATGTCTTTATAAATGATGACAGTGTAGGAGGACATATACATATGCTACATTTTCTACGTCACCAAAGTTTATTGTCAAGGAACTGACTACTCTTTCAGAACGGTTTCTTTAAGCAGAAGTAGATAGCATAACAGTTGCAAAATAAATACAGCAGATGAAACACTGTGGTCCCCACTTGTTTCTTGCTTCTTCCAAGAGTTTTAGACTTTTCTCACAATAATGAATTCACTCTCAGAGCAATCCCAAAGAACACCTTTTCTCCACCTCTAAGGACTTTGTTCTGCTTTTCTTAGACTACTTACTTCACATACACTGCCTTATTATTTTTTAACTTTCTCCTACTTCATTTTCAACTTACTTATATTTATCCCTAAGACACACTGTCATTTCTTGCTTAATTTTTTAGGATAATATTTCTGGGTTTTATAATCAGTTCAGCATAGGAACTACAGCATTTATTAGGCTACAAAGGAAACACTGAATACTGCCAAGCAGCCTGAAGACATTCTGTTCTAGGGAAGAGAAATACACTTGGAGATGTTCCTGCACCACTAAAACTTCTCTATAAAAGATATGCTCCCAATTTGACAAAATAGACATGTTCTTTTCTGAACTTTTATATCACTGGTCAACACTTCACTGTAAGTCTGAGCTCAGTTAAAGAAACTTAACAGTAAACAGTCTATTTAGCCAAAATATTTTGCTACAGGATTTTTTTCTTTATTTTAAACCTCTTTAAGACTTAGCTGCTTTTTTTTTTTTTTTTTTTTAAGTAACAAGTCATCAAAAAGATTAATTTGAATATCAAAAAATATATACCTGGACCAGCTTACCTGGTGAGTTGCTAGAAGGCGCAGGATCCACAAGGCTGGCAGTAGGACTGCTACAACTGGCAGCTGATTCAGAAATGGATCCATTCATTGAGGATGGCAGACCCAGTGTATTTGTAGTTGTAACTGGTAGGGGTAGCACCATAGGGGTCATGGTAGGTCCAGACAGGTTTGCTGTAGTCTGCATCTTAACTTGTGCCATTGCCTATCACTGAAATAAATAAATTATAATGAACAGGGCACTTTGTATTTTGAATCTCTAACAACAGTAGTGATATTAACAACACTTCTTTTCTGCTTCTGGATCTGGGTCACAAAACTATCCACAGAAGTCATGCCTCTGCACACATTAATTTCAAACTGATGAACACAAAGCTCACAGCCAAAGAAAATCACCAGAGCAGAACCCACATGCCCTGACTCCAGGTTCTGTTGCACAGCTGTGGGGTGACCCTGTCTGAAAGACAGCAGGAAGAACAATTATTCAAGATTAAAAATCCATACAATTAATCTGTGGATGAGATTAGCACCTGACAATTTCTCCAAGAGAGGATGTCTTTGCAACAAACTTTCCATAGCAATCTTTTGCCATACTTTTTCCCATAAAATGCACATGAAATACAAAATAAGTCAACAAGATAAAATTCCCTATTTTTTTTCTGCCTGTTACCAAACTAGAAAAGAGAAAAAATAAGAAAAGAATCAACCACCAAAGCAGCAAGTTCTGAAAAACTGCTGCTTATTCAGTCAAGGGGTGAAGAAGCACTTCAATTCTTGTATAAATTACCAGCACAGGTACCAGGATTTCCTAAACTCACCTTTAATCCAGTGCCTAAAGCATTTACCTGGAATATGACAGGCACTAATTATCTCCTTCCATCTGCACAAATTAGTTTATTACCAATACCTGTTACCTGGCTAAGTCTACACCTGTCAACAAACCAGGGTCAGGGCACGGCTCCTTCATACTATTCACTGAGAGTACCCTCCTTGGCAAAATTCTGACTACTGACAAAAAACTTGCAAAAAACACACTGGAGCAGTTCAGAGGTGAGCAGGCACCTCAGGTAGTCCACTCAAATAAGCAAGGAGGCAACCATTCTCAGTCCTCCAGGGAAAAATCTTGGGCTTCTCCTTTTGGTGTCAGGAGCAAACAGGATGATGTAATTTATTCAGTAGCATGGACATAGACTGTATTTTTTTAGGGTTTGTACACGTGATATGACCTTTACAGAGCAGATAGAGAGATGAAACTAGTAACAGCTAACAAAAAGCCTATGGACCTAAGACCTCTTCTGACTGCAGCTCTGGTCCCTCTTGCTAAGGCAGAGAAGGACAGGAGCCCAGCTCTCCTCCATCACACCACTAAGCTATCTGTTACTTCTGCTGGGGTAACTATCTCTTCCTAAGCAAAAAACCTATCCAACACCTGAAAAACTTTCTAACTAAAAAGACAGTCTTATTGAAACAAGTACAACTATATAAAAATTCTGATTGCATCAGCACTTCCATCCTCCCCCAATCCATTAAAAAATATTCAAGTATCTCTACTCAGAGGGACAGTGTTGTTGGATTAAGATCCCAAATCACTCAATACACCATAGAGTGAAACTACTTTACACAGTTGCACTAGTATAATGAAAATAATAAATCCTACTGCTGTGACTCTGTGCTTTGGAGAAGAGGTTCAGACTGGAATGCCGTTTTTATTCCTGAGGAAAGACAGACAACTGATATAAATCTCTGGAAAGGCAAAAGCAAAAAAATTAAAAATTAAACTGATGCAATCACTTGTCCTTTTCATAAATATTGTAAATAAAATGGTAACAGTGACAGATTTAAAAAATACATATGCAGTCACAGCTGAGATATATTCAAACACTTCATGTGTTCAAAAACATGGACTAAATTCAGACTGCAAAAATCCTACTGTCACTTAATAGCAAATGTCATACAATACAGCATCAGTGTAAGAAGGGCCTAACTTAAAGACTGAGAGTGTATATAACTGTAGAATTCTTTGGTATACTATGTGTTTAATTCTGATTTTAAATATATTACTATAGATCAGAATGAATTCAAAAACTTTAATTGTAAACATCAAAGTCAATGATGGCAGAATCAGGCCATATTTATTAAACATCTTTAAAATGATACCAACATAATATGAAAGATCATGACAATAATTCAAGTTTAAGAAACTCCTTAGAGTATTTACAGCATATTAGCTTATAAATGTGTGTATGAGAAAGCCATCACTCATATAGTACTATATGAGATACTACTGAACACTTATTCTTGGGCCTTACCAGTTGTGAATTATCCTTTCAGCTCAGTATTTTTAAAGTTTATTCCACTTTTCAAGAAAGCAGAACTTACTAATAACCAAATAAAATAATGTGTTCTATGGTATTGCTGTTCTAAAGGGAGGAAATTGTAGGATTGATCCTTTCCTATTAAGGATAAAAAAATCAGTTGGGTAATAGTATCAAGGGACTCAAAAAAAGAACAAGATAAAGTTTAGGAGAAAAAAGACACTCTTTGTCCTACAAGTAAAGTACATAGGAAATTAAACTGTGAAATCAGAATAAAAACATAACATTGGGTACTGGGGTTTCCTTGTATATCTAAAGCTGCAGAACTCCTACAAGAAACTATAACTATTTTGTAAATTGATCTGTATAAACAAAGATGCCCAGGAGGTAAATATAATTATAGGACTAACTCTTAAGTACGTGAGATATGGAGATAATAAATTTGTAATCAGTTCTAAAAATCCACTAATAGAGACAGACAACAGAGAATATATTCAATATAGTGTTGTCATATTATTTACACGCTACCAAGCAAATAATCTTTGATGTCATGACAAAAAAGGGGATAAAACCTATATGCTCCGTCTTTTCTTTATATTGTTGTACTACATATACTTCTATCTTTACATTACATTTACAGTGTTGTACTATTTCATAAACAGTTGAAGCAAAAACATTTCAGGGCCTTCAAGTTCAAGTCACAAGCACAAACTGGTTTGCTACTACACAACAAAATGTAGGAGTTGGGGGAAAGAGATTTCACTAAGCTGGTCAGAGAAGAAATGCAGTTACATAATCAAAATATTTTAAAATCTTCTAGGTGGATATTTTTGAAAAATCTGGCACATACATAAGGGATAGTTTACTTAGGATATTATGAATATGACTAGAAAAGCCCCCACACCTCATTTCAGGTGGCTAACTCAACTCACAACTAGGAAACTGCTACACCCAAGTGTCTGCAGAGGAGTTTCCCTCGATGCTAGGCAGTGGTTACAGACGCTTGGATCTCTCTGAGAAAGCTGGACTGCCAGCTTTGTGTCTTTATTGAGCCACCACCTGCCACACTGAGACTCAGCAGCAATGATATTTCTTGCAGTCTCAATCACATACATGTCTACACAGTTGAAGTCCATAAGTTGCAGTGTTGCCATTTTTATAAAATTAAATTCCAGAGATTATGGTGCCTTCTGAAATCCTGCAATGGTTTTCCCTCTTTTACTCTAACCTGCACAGCTGTACTAGAAATGCTACAGCAGGCATTTAAAGGGATGTAAAAATACTATAACTTTGTTTTACTTCACTTCTGCTTTTGAAAGCACTTTGTACACAGGCAGTTACAGAGGTTTCATTAAACAGTTGTATTAACTCTCATTAAACTGTGAATTTTCCGCTGTAGCTAAAAATAACCAAAACAAAACAAACTCACATTAAAACAACAAAACCGCCTCATCTTTTGAAATTAAAATATTGCTATCAAATATTCCATTAATTTTTCTTGTAAGCTGGGAAACACAACTAATTTGGTTATATTCAGAGATACAGAATATTTTTAACAACTGTGAGTACACTTCTGCCATGCTAAAAAGCACCACACAACATAAACTACTTACATTTTTTCTGATGATTAGAACTTCTTGTACTTTTCTGAAACATGAATGGCTATATCCTTAGATTTTATTACATAAGATAGGAATTAAACGCTCAGGTGAAATGATTCTTAGAATACATCACACTAATTGAATAAAGACAAAGGAGATAAGACAGCACAGAAGGTGGAAAAGATAAACAGTAAACTTCCAAGTCAAATGCTCTTTCACAATGTGGAAAAAATGAAAAAGCAATACTTGACTTGAAATACAAGTTGTCATATAAAAAACCAGCAGTCAGAGAAACTAATGACCTGAAGAGTCAAAACAGAAGACTGGACTTCATCTATACAGAAAATGAAAATGTATATATGCAGTGTTACCACACTTTAACACTGCTCTGTCATACAACCCAACATACCAAATCTAATCTGTGTACAAGTATGTAGCACACACCACATACTATGTATTTGCAAAGTGCTTTACAAAGGTAACAACTGAGGGCCAGCCACTGCCGAGTAAGAAGACTTACTTAACGTATCTTGTTTCTCACATACCAAATACTTCTGCTTATACATTTTAATTGGTGCCTATTTTTCACAACAGTGTCACATTAATGATCCCAGGTCCTTTTCTTCAGAACTGCTACCCAGCAAGTTCTGACCTATGCTCAGTTTGTGAATATGACTGTTCTGCAGCTAATGAGACTTTGCTCTTTGTTTCCTTGAATTACGCTATAAAAGAAAAGCAAGCAAAAAAGACAATTATTTCAATTTTTCAAAATCACACTGAATTCTAATTCTAGTTCTAAAATGTCTGCAGTCTTCTCTAAGCCTGCTTTATAGCATCTACAAAAATAATAAGTGTACTGTTTCATCCACATCATTAATGAAAACACTGAAAGGTACAGGAACAGCATTACCACAGACTGGGGGCAGTGTCCAAGCAGGCAGCATCTCAAAGCTTTTTTTCCAGACCAACCCCTGCTTTGGTCAGCAGCTTGTTAATGCAAATCTTCTGTAAAAGTCCCAAGTCACAGAACACTAACAGAATTAACAGCTTCTTAACTAAGGAGGGTTTGGCTTTGGTTTTAATCTTAAAATTCCATTAAACTCCCTATTCTCCTTCCAGTGTCCTGGTATTACTTCACTCAGTTATACAAAGGTATACAAAACTGTGAAAAGGTAAAATGTATTTCTTGTGTGCCATTTCTCACATTTACAGTAAATATTTATACATATATGTACATTAATGAAAAAAGTACTACAGAAGTCCTAAGGTTTATGTAATTTCTTTTTACTGTGTTA